GGACTGCTGATGAGTCTAAAATGAGACTAAGGCATGAATCAGTCACCACAGGAAATACTTGGTTAGTTAGAAAGGTTTTCAGATTCCCATGAATTCTTTTCAGGGAGCAAGTATTCACTTGATACCTTCTTCATTATGAACTAGAAACATTTTCAAAACAGCCACTGTGTTCTTAGTAGACTGAAGATGGAAAGAAGAGAAACACATTTTTTAACACCTCCTGTGTACACAAATGAATGTTACAAGGTAGATTATTAACCTCAGTTTACAGATGAAGGAATTTGCTATGTAAAGTGATCTGACCTGAGACCATGAAACTTTAAGAGGTAGAATTCTCAAAGGACTCACACCCAAATGCTCCTGGCTATAATACCTATGGTCATTTTTTCTCAATGTTTATTATAAAACTTTCAAACACACTGCAGACTTGGGAAAAAAAGTGTACCATGAACTCCCATACTATTAATGTATTGTTTTATTGTATATCTTTCCATCTATCCATCCTTTATCTGTTGTTGTTTTGATGCATTTCAAAGTAAACTACAGGCATCCGTAATCTTTTTTAACAGCTTTATTGAGATATGCAAATCAGTGGTTTTAGTATATACACAGATACATGCAGCCACCACCATAATCAGTTTAGGACATTTTTATCAGTCTACAACCTTCTCTACCCTGCCCCAGCCCCTGGCAACCATTAATCTTTCTGTCTCTATAGCTTTGCCTATTTTGAATATTTCATGCATGTGGAATCATACAATTTTCAGTTCTTCCTTACTGGCATCCTTCATTTAACATATTTTCAAGGCTCATCCATACTGTAGCATGTTGTATTACTTCATTTCTTTCTCCTTCCCAATAACATTGCATTGTATGAATAGACCACACTTTATATATCCACTCATCAGTTGATAGACAGGGGGTTGTTTCCACTTGGGGCCATTATGAATAATGCTTCTATTAATATCTGTATACGAATTTCGAGTGGAAGTTAGTCTTCATTTCTCTCTGGTATACACTTGGAGTGAGATTTCTGGAGCACATGGTAACTATGTTTAGAGCTCCAAACTTATTTTCCAGAGAACAGCTGCACCAGCTGTTTACCAGGGTTTGAATTTCTCCACATCTTCACCAACACTTGTTATCATCCTCTTTCCTATTCTAGGTCCATAATCTTTTTATTACACTCTTTATTACATCCTCTTGTTGATTGCGCCTTGACATAAAGCTTCAAAACCATCAGTCAGTGTGGTAGTATCCAGGCCCCTTTGGAGCTATGTGATTTGAATCCACTTTAGACCTGACTCACCGTTCTTATGAAGGGAATTCATCTGGGCTTCTTGAATGGTTAAGAAATTGGGCTTTAGAGTCAAACCTACCTGTATTCAAGTCCTTGCTCCCCTACTTAATTTCTCTGCCCTTGGGCAAATTTCTGTATCTCTCCAAGCTTCAGCTTCAGCTTCCTCATCTGTAAAGTAAAGGTATTACCTATTGTCTTCTTGGGGCTGTGGAAGTTAATTTACATAATCCATGCTAAATTGATTCAGCTAAGTCGCTCACTCTTGTCTGACTCTTCGAAACCCTGTGGTCTGTGGCCTGCCAGGCTCCTCTGTCCATGGGATTTCCGAGGCCAGAATACTGGAGCGGGTTACCATGCCCTCCTCCAGAGAATCTTCCCGACCCGGGGATCAAACCTGTGTCCCGTGCGGCTCCTGTGTTGCAGGTGAATTCTTTACTGCTGAAGCCCCAATTTACATCATAAGCATTGAATAAATGCTTCTGGTAGCTGCTACTGCTCTCACTTTTTAATCTATTCTAATGGTATTTGTGAGCCAGGTTTAATGTCAGATGAGCGTCTCTAACTTTACTGGAAGGCCTGAAAGACCATACAGTTTGTGGGCTGAGAGACTGAGGTGGTAGCCCATGGAACACACGCCAGAGATGTCACCTGAGTCTGCCGCCGTCAGCATGCAGGCTGGTTGTCACCACCACCAGGCTCCGCTCCCCGCCACCCCACATCGGCCCTAGGTTAGGAGAGTTCTTTGCTGCCAGCCAAGCCTAGCTCTTCCCCTCAAAGGAACTGACACAGTGGAACACCCCATTTTTAAAAAGCCTCTAGCCCCTCTGTGGTGTGGGGAGAGAATAATGAAATCATCCGACACTGACACACACAGTAGGTTTAATAGGACAATCATAAAAAGACAGTACATTAACCTAATCTCGTGGCATTTGTTGAACTTAAAACATGATGGAAAATCAGCTCCAGAGGTGGCACTGTTTCCAAGTGTATGTCAAGGCCTACAGATGACGTGAAAAGGCAGAGTCCCAGAGAACCCGCCCGAGTCACAAACACAAAGTGGAAACCTTGATCAGTTGTTCAAGTCACTCCAGTGACGGTTTTGGTGGGCAAGAAAGCAGCACAGAGATTGTTATCAGGGACGCAGGAGAACTAAATAGGAGTCAGTAATGTAGCAAAGAGTCAGCTGGACCTTTATTTTTAATCTGTGTCTCATGGAGAAGGAATGGGGTTTAGGATCTACTTATTCATTATATAATTATTAGAAGGGAGAATGTTGCTGATGCCGCCGCCACATAAGGATGAGCTTGAACAGAGAACTTCCATGGATTCCTTAAAAGTTTGTGTACTGCACATCTGGTTAAACCACGAGGAGAGGGGAGAGTAGTTTAAATGTTTGAGTTCTGACATTTCTGTTTTTTAATACAAAGTTTGCCGAGACTTGCATGCGAGTGTTAGGTGTACGCTTGCCTGAGAAGCACCCAGTCGTTGCGTCTGCGGGGAATTGTAGAAGGGCTCCAGACCCCGCCCCACCCCCGTGGGCACCGAAGCCTGCCCGTGCTGCAGTCCCTTAGGGAGCCCATGCACCCCTCCCCTGTGGTGGGACGCACGCCTCGAGTGCATGCAGGACCTCATGCAGTGAAGGGGAGCCCGTGCACCCCTCCCCTGTGGTGGGACGCACGCCTCAAGTGCATGCAGGACCTCATGCAGTGCAAGTGCTCTGTAGGTGTTTGCTGGCGCGCGGTGAATGCGCGTCTTACGTCTTAGAACTTGATGGAATTGTTGCGTTTTTTTTTTTTATACTTTCTATCCGAACCTGGTAGGACCTGAAGGAGGTAGATCCCCAACTGTGTATCCTCCTTTTGGGGTGAGCCCTCTGTCTGACCGAGAGGCTTCCGCTGTAGTCACCGTCAGCTAAAGCTGTGTGATTCCTCCCTTTCGGGGCTTCTTACTGTGTAGTCTTCAGCCTTTCTCCTACCTTCTTAGCTCTTTCCTTTTTTTTTCTCTGGGGGGTTCCTTGAACTCCACCCACAACCTGCCTGAAGCTTCACCAGTAGCAGACAGCCCTGTGTTCCCCATGTCAGCCTTCCCCCTCAGCATCTGCTTTGGGTCCATGTACTGTCTATTCCAGATTCCCACTGCCTTCCCTGCCTTTTAAGGGCAGATTTCCTTTTTTTTTTTTTTTAATTAATTTATTTATTTTACTTTACAACATTGTATTGGTTTTGCCACATGTGTTCCCCATCCTGAACCCCCCTCCCACCTCCCTCCACGTCCCATCCCTCTGGGTCATCCCAGTGCACCAGCCCTGAGCATCCTATATCATGCATCGAACCTGGACTGGCGGTTTGTTTCACATATGATAATTTACATGTTTCAATGCCATTCTCCCATATCATCCTGCCCTCGCCCTCTCCCACAGAGTCCAAAAGAGTGAAGTAAGTCAGAAAGAAAAACCAATACAGTATACTAACGCATATATATGGAATTTAGAAAGATGGTAACGATAACCCTGTATGCGAGACAGCAAGAGAGACACAGATTTCCTTTTTTTCCCCCAAATGTTCCCGTTAGTCCATACATTTCTACCTCCTGCCCTTTTCCTGGGTTCTTTGTCCAGTCTCTGATCTCTCCCTTTTAAATGGTTCCAACCCCACAGATCCATAGATTGCCTGCCCAGGTACCGTCTTCATGTAGAATGAATCTTTTCACGTGAATCCGAAGTGCTAGCGGTGAACCAAATGAGCAAAATGGTCCCTGCTCCTGAGGAACTGTCTCTGTGCATTCCCCACTTTTCTGCTCATCTGCAGCCACTCTGTCCCTCCTTTCTGTTCCTAAAACCTGCCAAGCTGATTCTCATCTCAAGAGCTTTATACTTGTTTTAAGATACTTGCTTCAGCTTGAGATACTCTTCCCCTCACATCTTCACGTGGCTTGTTCATGTCATCACCCAGGTTTTAGCTCTCAGGGTTGGGAAAAGGTCTTCCCTGAGCAGTCCAGGACCACCAGGCACACTGCCGTATCCCCGTCCTGATTTTCTCTGGCTCACTTACCCGTGCTTGCAGTCGTCTTGGTTTTACTGCCTTGCACCACCACTGTAGAATGTAAACTCCTGAGGGCAGGCATTCGATCTTGCTTACCACAGCGTTCCCAGAACCCTGAACAAACCGGGCACACAGCAGGCACTCCGTAAACATCTGTGGACACTGTGCCTGGCAGTGGGGATGGGGGTTCTGAATGACGAACGTCCAGGTGAGTGAGTGACCTGTGCCGGCCAGAATGAGCTCCTGGTGATTGCCGGAAGGTAAGTGTCCGTTGCGTGCTGTGTATCTCCTGAGGAGACTGCTTAATGTCCCCCAGGTTTTTGCCTCTCCCATATGCCGCTCAGGGCAGAGTAAGAACTGCCTTGTTCGTAATGGGTCTGCTCAAAGCTAACCGGGGCTGCTGGCCTCGCTGCAAATCCCATGTGTTGGAAGAATGTGGAAGAGCCATGCTGCCGCTGGGATGCGGCCTTGTGAGAAGCTGTCCGTCCCAGGGACCGAGAGCTGTGCCCACTAGCATACCCTGTTACCCCAGGCCCCTCTCCTGATTTCTCTGTGCTTTCGTTTTCGTCCTTTGCAGAGTGGGTTTGGGGGGTTGGATGTGAATAATAACCAACAGAAATACAGAATGTGTGAAACATTCAACTTTTCCCTCTTGTTAGATGTGAACGATTAGAAGAACAACTGAATGACCTAACAGAGCTCCACCAGAATGAAATCTTGAACTTGAAGCAGGAATTGGCCAGCATGGAAGAGAAGATTGCGTATCAGTCCTACGAACGGGCCCGGGACATCCAGGTCAGCATGGTCGGCCAGGTGCAAAAGCAGAAGGCTGAGAGAAAGCAGAATGGTGGTTCCCAGGGGCTCGGGGCAGGGGGCAGGGGGCTGGGGGCGGGTTACTATTTAATGGGTCCAGCGTCTCAATTTTCTAAAATGAAAAGAGCTGTGGAGGTAGGTGGTGGTGATGGTTGTACAACAGTACAAATGTGCCATACCACTGAACCATGCACTTAAAAGCAGTTCAGATGGTAAATTTTACATTATGTACATGTTACCACAATAAAAAAGGAGAAGAAAAAGGAATGATGCACCAACACCTGCTGCAGCCTGGGTCCACCCTGAAAATATGAAGCTCAGTGAAAGAAGCTGGTCACAGAAGGCCGAACAGTGTATGATTCCACTTACGTGAAGCGTGCAGAGTAAGCAAATCTATGGAGAAAGTGGATCCATGATTGCCAGAAACTAGAGGGAAAGGAACGGGAGTGATAACTAAAGGGGAGGGGGTAATTCTAGGGATGATGAAAACGTCCTGGAATTTAGTAGGAATGATGGTTAGACAACATGGTGAACTTACTAAATGCTTCTTAAGTGAACACTTTAAAAGAAGTAAATGATAAATTTTATATTATGTATTTTACCACACACACAAAAAAATGTTTAGGGCCAGACGGAGAGGACAGAGTATTACAAGAAGCTTAGACCACCTGTATCACACCTGCTCTTCAGATGCGGTGCGTTTCTCAAAGTAAAAGTGTCAGTCGCTCAGTCGTGTCCGACTCTCTGCATCCCCATGGACTGTAGCCCTCCAGGCTCCTCTGTCCATGGGCTTTCCCAGGTGGGAATACTGGAGTGGGTTGCTCTCCCCTCTTCCAGGGGATCTTCCCAATCCAGGGATCGAGCCCGGATCTCCCACATCACAGGCAGATCCTTTACCGTCTGAGCCACTAGCATTTCTCAAGTCTGCACCATTTGGAGGTGGTGTGCTTGCTTGGCTTCTTGGGAAATGTTTCTTGGGCTCAGGATGATCTCAGTAGATGGAGGAGCACGGATGTTATGTCTGTGGTTACTGCTTCGGGAGCTGCTCTGACAGGTCCCAGGGCCACCTGACCTGACTCCTTCTGTGGCAGAGGCCTCACTACCAGACCCACCTTATACAGCTACACCACCAGGCCGTTTCTGAGAATAATGGTGGGCTACACAGTCCATGGGGTCACCAGCTGACCAACTCAATAGTAACAGCGGTAATGTTGAAGGCTGATGGCCCTCTAGTTTAATCCATGGCAAAACAGAATGTTTTAACTTTTTCTCATCCCAGTTGGGAGATTATTTTTAAAGACTCATGCCAGGACCGTCAGCGCTTTATTCCCTGTGGTTTTCACTGCCTTCCTCTTGCAGCTCTGGTGGTTTCATGTGAAAGCATCCTGAAATAAACCAGCCTCGGTGCTGTGATACAGGAGACATGAATGACAGAAGCCTCAAGGAATCAAGGGGATGTCTAGATCATTTGTCCAGATGCCCCCTTTTCCATGACCCAGAAGTCTGTTTACATTTTAGTTTTCTTCCCAAGGTCCTTCTGGACTGGGGTATATCTGTTGTATGTCCATTCTCTAGCTTAGATTCAGTCTGAAGTTGCCTTGCCTTCACCTCAGATCCCAGGAAACCACGACCCACTGAAACCGAGGTCACATAACCCAGGGCTCCTACCACTGCTGAACTTCAGAGGGTATCTGACCACGGCTAAGGAAATAGATCCTTCCTCTGAGTGTTACGGTCAATTTTATATGAACCCATGGGTGAAGGTTGTGAAAGGAAATGTTGGGTCAAGTGTTGGGCATAGTGTCTGTTCTCTTCACAGAGACCAGCTCTTATTAAGAAAACAGTGCAGGGAGGCCCTTCTGCCTGACGTTGGGGAGCTACTTAGCTTGAAAAGCACCTGGTAGTATGTCCAGAGGAGGTTCACTCCTCCATGGTTCAGTGAGAGTGGTGAAAATAACCTAGATCTCTCCAGTAGGGAGCTGGCTGAATAAACTGTAGCCTAGCCAAGCTGTAAATGCTAGGTAGCCTTTAAGAAGAACCAGGTGGGCCTCCACACATTGACGCGGAGAATCCCCAGGGCCCTCTGTCAAGTGAGAAACACAAGTCCCGTAGTGTGATATTATTTGCATGAAGCTAGAAAAATTTTAAATAATCCCATGCATTTCCCTAAGGATATCTGTGTATAGACTTAAACACAGGTGAAAGGGTGAACACACACCAGACTGGCAGAGTCACTTCAAGGGCAGGGACTGGGAGGAAAATACCAAGGGAGCCAGTATGTCCTGTTACGATGAACAAGTGTGTGTGTCCAGTGCCACTCAAATTAATAATTGTTACATGCGGGGGAAAAAAGAGAAACGCAATCGTGGATTTGAGGTCTTGTCATTAAAGTGTTCAAGACTAGATCTGATTGTGGCTGAATGCAGCAGAGCTCAGTGGAGGGGTATCATAGTTGCTTGAATCGTAATCAAAAAGTGAATAATAGTTGCTTGAATTGTGAGTTGTGCCGTGGCCCTTCACACTCAAGACTCGCACACATCTCAGATCTCTGATGTGGCTCGGGATGCATCTGGCCGCCCCGTGGGGCCTGCCAGCTGCCCTGGGTGCCATGAGCTTCTCAAGGCTTACCTCTCCCCTGTCTGGCCCACAGGAGGCCCTGGAGGCGTGCCAGACCCGCATCTCCAAGATGGAGCTGCAACAGCAGCAGCAGCAGGTGGTTCAGCTGGAGGGGCTGGAGAATGCCACTGCGAGGAACCTGCTGGGCAAGCTCATCAACATCCTCCTGGCGGTCATGGCGGTCCTTTTGGTCTTCGTGTCCACGGTTGCCAACTGCGTGGTCCCGCTCATGAAGACTCGCAGCAGGACGTTCAGCACGTTACTCCTCGTGGTGTTCATCGCCTTTCTCTGGAAGCACTGGGACGCCCTCCTGGGCTACGTGCAGCGCTTCTTCTCCTCCTCACCCAGATGATGCTGCCAGCGCCTGGAACGCAGTGCTCCCCTCCCCTCCGGCGAGTGCATGCGGCGAAGACATAGACGGCCACTTCCCTCCTCTGGAGTTTTCTACAGCAACAAAAGAGTTGAGTGAATCTGTTTACATTTAGAATAATGTTTTTTTTTTCTTCTTCTTCTTCCTCAAAAGACGCAATTGCAATAGTATTTTTTAGATTTTATCCAAGAGGTTTTTTGGGCAACAATCTTGGATCACTTTTATGTAGCATGATTTTCCTTGGGATGCAAATCTGAAAACAGTCCTTTCACATGAACCCACCCTCTGGGGCGCACTGAAGGGCATTCTAACCGTGGCTTGAAGGACTGCTCTGAAACCCGCTGAAAAGACGCGCGAACGCCTGGCTGGGGAAGCCAGCTGAGCCCAGCACCCTGCCTTGTCTGGGCTCACCGCCGCTCCCCGTCCCAGACTGACTTTACTGTGAAGTCCTACCACATTCCATGTCTGAGTTTCTGTGCTCGGGGTGGATTTTCCTTGTCCGTGGAAGAACACGTGGATCTCCCTGGCTTTCTCACCCAAGTTGGCCACTCACACTAACCCTGGAAGTATGATCACTTTGGAGCCTGGTCCCTTAACCTTTGGTAGGATACAAAAGAGGACATCACACCCCAAGGATCACTGCACAGTCCTACTACAGTATTTTGAAGTAGCCCTCTAACTACTTAATTTTAAGCAAATCCCATGGCCGCACTTTTAAGGTTTTTTTTAAAAAGATGTGTATAGTCACCAACTTAAAACAAACAAACAAACAAAAAAATCCGAACAGCATACTTGAAGAATGTAATACTCAAACTCTCAGTGCTTCCTTATGGTTTCTAATAGGATTTTTTATTATTGTTATTATTATTATTGGGTTTTTTTGGAAAGGGTTGGGAGGGTCTCTTTTTCTTTTTTTCTCCTTTGAAATAAAGAAGTGATGTTTTTAAATGAAGAAATGTGTGGATATTTAAGTGTGCTGCTCCTTGTCCTGAAACAGTTTGAGTAAAGGAACCCTTGCTATAAACGCCACTCTCTGACGCCCTTGTTCTGAGACACAGCTCTAGCTCCCCGCTCTCTGGCTGCTGCTGCTGCTTCTGGTGTCCTGCCACCCCACGCCTCCCCCCAATGGGCTTGGCTTGGTTGGAGAGGAAAGGGGTGCTCAGGGAGACGGGAGGCTGTCTCCGCAAACCAGCGTGACAGGGTAGAGGCGTTTCTGCCCTGAGACTTAGGTTCACCCAGTGACTTTGGGCTGGGGCTGTCCCTAGGAAAATCGGAGACTGTACTACGAGAGTCATAAATGATTCCTCGTGCTTTCTTAATTTATTTCTTAACACCCCCTAACTACCGAGACCAAAGTGACGTGGAATCTTGGGTCTGTATTTTGGCCCCAGCCCGCCTTCATTTCACAGCTTTATTCTGTCTGCCCGAGAGAATCAGCTGAGGATGATTCTCTCTAGAGAGCAGAAAAGGAAGCATCAGGTTAGAAGGACCCAAGTTTGGGGTGTAACATGTCATCAGCCTCCTCTTCACCGAGAATGACGTATTAGCTGTGCTCAGTGGACCTTTATATAGAGAGTTTAGAAAAACGAGCTGAGCCTCTGTCCCTGTCTTATCACCAGTTCTACCATCTTGGCGGAACTTGGACTTCTCGAGCCTGTCTTGAAAGCGTGGTCAGCCTTTTCATGTTCATAGTATTGAATCACAGATGCTGGTCCCTCTTGGCCTCCGTCATGTGCAACCAGGCAGTGAGTAAGGCGCAGACATACTCTGCCCTGGAAAGAAATGCACAGCATGCTCTGCCCATCCTCCCTATGCCAGGGGACGCTTCTGGCACCAGAGTAGCCTCGCCTGTCCGTCTGAGCCAACGGCTTACATGCCAGCTCCGGCCTCCCGTGGCTGGGCAGGCTGGCCTTCTCAGAGTCAGTGTGTTGTTTCCATCATCATTTCGATGTTTTAACTCAGGTACCCCAGTCTTCACTCCATCCTCCACCCCCAGATGGTGACAGTACACCTGTTAGCTCTGTGGACCTCTCAGAATCACCACCCAGAACAAGGACCATGGGGGTGAATTTTCTTTAAAAAAAAAAAATAATTGGAACCAGTTTATGTCTTGGCCCAAAACAATTTGTTCCCAAGCCCATGTATCTAAAATTGTTATGACTTCCCCAGCAGTCCAGCGGTTAAGACTCCGTGCTTCCAATGAAGGGGGCGTGGGTTCAATCCCTGGTCGGAGAACTAAGATCCTTCATGCCATGCAGCACGGCCAAATGATAAAAATACAAATGATAAAATGTTAACTCTGCCTAAATATATTGCAGTGACTTTAGGTAGAAGTGCCAGGGGACGCCACGACCTAGTCAGACTAGCACAGTGTCTCCTCACTGTCTGCTTTAGGTTAATCTCTCAGAGGGGAAGAGCACCCCACGAAGTCATTGGAAATAACTCTAACCACAGTCCTCCAGTTTTTCTAAGACAGAACTTTTGAGTCCCCTGAACTGTGGAGAGGCTACAAAGTTTGGAGGGCACTGGAAGTCACTGGCTAGATGGACTGAAATTGTTCCTTTTTTGTTTGTTTGTTTTGGGACAATTTCTATCAAAGAAAGGTTTGCATCTCCGGAAGCTCCCTGAGCTCCCAGCCAAACAGGCCCGCACTGACTGTCCCTCCTCTTCATCTGTCCCAGGAAGGACCTCCTCCAGGCCAGGTCAGGCCCAGTAATGGCTTTCTAGCTCTCCTGTCCCTTGATTATTCCCCAGGCCCAGCAGTTGTCTGCACCTAATGCTGTTTGTAACCATGCATCTGTTTCCTCACCTGCCCATCCCTGTTGCCTCTGAGTTTCTTTGCATTGTGGCTGTCCCTGGGATGTCTTATCTGTCCAGAGTTCTCCTGTAACCTCCCTCTCACAGTTAACAGTTCTGTGGGTGGAAGCATCTCGCTTTAACGCTTTTTCTCTTCTAAAGACTGCGTGCATTCCCTGTGAAATGAAGCATTCCTGGATGACTGCTCAGTGCTGGTGTGTGAGGCTGACCATGGCAGCCTGGGGACTCTGTTCAGGTTGTAGAGTCTCACTAACACTTTACCTTTTATTATATGATCGTTGAAGGGCGCTCCTGTCCGCTCCAATTTCAGTTCTTTGGAAAGAAACTCAGTGCACCCTAGCAAAGAAGGCTTTCAATTCCACTGGCTCCTGAAGAAGCAAAAGTAAGATTACATTTTATACTTCACTGACTGGATGGGGTCTTCCCTCTGCCCTGAGCCCCTTCCACCCAATTAAGGTAAAACTTTGCTTCCAGGAAAAACTGGGATCAAGCCTTCCTTGCTAGCCATGTCATGATAACAAGCATAATGTTCACGTGGTCTTTGCTGCATTTGGTTTTGTTTTCTAATTTCCTGTTCCTTGGAGGTACAGTCGGATGAAATGCTGAATTCCAAGTGAGTTCCAGCAAGGAGCTGCCTTTCAGCTTTGGAAAATATGCATCCAAAACAAAACCAAATACGATAAAAAAAAAAAAACTTGACACAGGTCGGATTATGGTTCCCGCCCCCACGTGCAGCTGGGGATTTTGAATGTGGCTCTAAGAGTTAACATTGCTGTCTGTGTGTCGTGTATGCTGGGTGATGCCCTCAGTAGGAGTGATTACTAGACTAAGTGTGTTTTATCTAAGTGTGTAAGAGTAAAAACTCACTTGCACGAATTGAAAAGTACAGAAATGACACTTGTGAACGTGTGAACATTGACACTGTAGTTGATAGATTTTAAGCTGCGAGTTGTTGGGAGAGAATTACACTGATGTTGGGTCTGGTTGCTCCCAGTTCTCAGCGGCACTTTTACTGTACATACGAATTTGAAATAAAGACCTCAGCTATTAACAAGGTGGTTGGATTTGGGTTTGTTTTACTCTTCTTTTTTGCATATTCAGTTCCATTGCAAGTTTGTCAGTCTGAAAACTTTCCACTAGTGTGTGCATTAGAAACTGTGTGTGTGAGTGTGTGTGTGTGTGTGTGTGTGAGAGAGTGTGTGTGTTTAGCCAGTATCTCAAAATCATAACTGATAACTTATAGCTGGGTAGCTGTCACAGTTCCCTTGGATTATATATACTTCATTTCAGGCGGGCACTTTGCCACAGTTCCTCTACGCTGGTAGGTAAGACTGCCTCCTGAGGGCTTCCCAGGTGGCTCAGTGGGAAAGACTCCACCTGCCAATGCAGGAGCTGCAGGAGACGCGGGTTCGATCCCTGGGTCGGGAAGATCCCCTGGAGGAGGACATGGCACCCCTCTCCAGTAGTCTTGCCTGAAAACTTCCACAGACAGAGGAGCCTGGCAAGCTACAGTCCATGGGTCGCAAAGAGTCAGGCACAACTGAGCACGCAGGCACGCAAGACTGCCTTTTCATTCTTAGGAGGGAGTCCTCGAGACGCAGGACCTCCCACATTCAGCACCTGATGACCCGAAATAGGTATGATAATCCATGTCCGTTTTGTTAATCAACAAATGTTATGATGGGACTAAACACTTGCTTAGTAAAACATGTACCATTTGAAGTTGTGCGTTCATGCAAGGGGTTATCTTGTAGCCTATCTCCATCTGTGGTTATGGTATCGATGTAGTAGTTTCTGTGATGTTTTTTTTTTTATGATCTCTGGGAGGGCTCTGGAAATGGAGAAGCTCTGATCTCGCCTTTGACAGGGCACCAAACGGGGTCCTTCACACCCTGCATCTGAATGTCAAGATGTTTAGGTCACTCTTCTGGCTTGCTAACTCTGGGCCTCCCTTCTATCTATCAGCTAGAGATATCTCACCCACCTTGATCCTGCCTGGTGGATGATGTGAAAGGAAGAGATGCCTCTTACGAAAACTTTTTAAATTGCTGTGAGAATGCCCTTGCTGCTGCCAAGTCGCTTCAGTTGTGTCTGACTCCCTGGGACTCTATGGACTGTAGCCTGCCAGGCTCCTCTGTCCATGGAATTCTCCGGGCAAGAATACTGGACTGGGTTGCCATACCCTCCTCCAGGGGATCTTAACCAACCCAAGGATCGAACCCGCATCTCTATGTCTCCTGCATTGGCAGGCGGGTTCTTTACCACTAGCACCACCTGGGAAGGCCCTTAAGCTGCTTAAAACATGGACCAGCCTGCTATGTGCAGATGGTATGCTGGCCAGTCCCAAGGGGCCCTCTGTAGGCTACCCCATGAGTGACAAGTCCTAGAGTCTCACAGTGAACAGTGGGAACACATACGGAGCAAACCTGACAGCAGATGGTGGATAATTTCAAAGCCTGATTTATTATCATCCATTAAAAACGGGAGTGTGGAGTATAGAAGACTAGGAATGGGCTTCCCTCATAAATCTGTGAAGCTGTGGTGTAGAAAACAGACTAGGGAGGCAGGGAATGGGCGTGTGACCAACTAGAAAGTGTCTGCCTTTCCTGAAAGAGTCAACTGTGTTATTTTTAAACTCTACGAGCTAAACTAAACTCCTAGCCAACTTGTGACCCCAAATCTCAGTAATGAAGAGTCGCTAACACTCACTGAATCTTTATCGAATGCTGGGCTTAAATGCTCGGTACTTGACAGGCATGTGCTGTGTGCTTAGTCATTCAGCCGTGCCTGACTCTCTGCGACCCCATGGACTGCAGTCCACCAGGCTCCTCTGTCCATGGGGATTCTCCAGGCAAGAATACGGGAGTGGGTTGCCATGCCCTTCTCCAGGGCATCTTCCTGACCCAGGGCTCGAACCTGGGTCTGCTGCGTTGCAGGCAGATTCTTTACCAACAGAGCCACCAGGGAAATCGCGTGACACGGAGTTCTCGTTGAATTCCTCCCACAGGCCTTGTCATCCTCACTGTCTAGCTGAGAAGCACAGCTTGAGCTAAGTGGCTTGCCTAAAGTTACACTGTTAGGAAGTGGTAAATGAATTCGGTGGAAAATAGGTCTGTGCAACATATGTAACAAAAGGTGAGTGTCCACAAAGGGTTACTGCAAACTGCTAAAATCCTCAACCACGCAGAAAATAGGCAGAGGTTCCCAGGAGAAGGAATGAATCACCAATAAGTATTCAAAAGAAAATGTTCAGCCTCATGGGTGAAGCAGCACATTAAATGGGGGGGGGGGGGGGAATGCGTGGTGAAACAGAATATTTGTTTACTTCTGTGCAAAGTATTGGGTTGGCCAAAAAGTTTGTTCAGTTTTTTTCCGAACAAATTTTTGGCCAACCCAGTAGTTTTGTTTGCATAACTCTATATATGTAAGTATATAGAAATGAAAACCACATTAAAACTGTTCCCAGTAACTACATCTGGGAAAGGGAGTGGGAGGGATGGTGGTGAAAAAGGACTTTGATGTTTGACTGTAAAGTATGAATCTCTTAAACATGAATGTATCTGTGTATCTTTAAATTAAAAAATCAAAACCTGTGGGTTTTTTTTTTTTTTTAAAGTAATAGGTCCATTGAGAAGAAGCAGAAAAGAGTTGACAATGTTTCCTCATGCCAGATTGTAATTTAGGATAGCCTTAGAAGGTGATCCGAGCCAAGTTTGGACCACCCCTTGGGTTTCTTCCCAGCCTGGATTTCTGGGTGTGGTGGTCAGATGAATGTCCCCCTGCCCCGGGCGGGGGGTGGGGGGCGAGGCAGGGGAATGTGGGGCAGTGGGCTTGCAGCAGCTGCTGCCACCTGTTCAGTTCAGCCCTTGACTCACCCTCCAGCCTTTGGGGACCACTCTGCAGCAGGACCGGCAGTGGAGGTGTGCTGGGCCCAGCGGCCGGAGCCTGTGTTGTATGTGAGCCGGGAGCCACGTGTAGGGGCGAAGAGGAGGAAGCCGTTCTGAGCAGGCAGTTGGGAAAGGCTGGAGGAGGCACTGTCTGGGCTGAGAGAGATGCGTCTCTGGGGGGTGGAGATGAGTGAGGGGGGCCTTGCACGCTGAAGGAACAGTATTGGCAAACACCACCCAGGTGACAAAGGCCAAGGCGAGTGGTTTCAGCAGCGGATGAGAGCCTTGGACGGCTGCGAGCATGCTGGAAGAACGTGTAAATCAGGGACAGAGTTAACAGCGGTTCTGAAAGATTCTGAATGCCCTGCTGAAGGTTCACCCTGTGGCTGCAGGAAGGTATCAAGGCGTAGTGACCCACCCTGTGTTTAAAGGCAACGGTAGCCGTTTTGCAGTGTAGCCTCTTTCTCATGGCATTTGGCCGGCTGAGAAACGCTGTCCAAGGTATTTGGTCATTTGACTTTTTGATCCTGTAATGGAAGAAGCTCAAGTTTTTCTTTGATCTGTGAGGTGGGGGTGTAGTGAGAGCATAGGAAGCTCAGAGTTCAGTTCATGTACATAAATGGAAGTCACTTCTGGCCTGAGAACCCTAAAAGGGATCTTCTACCGCAGGAGTCCTTGACAGCTGATTTAGGCTTCTGCATTAAAGAATGCTTAAAAATGTCAAGGAATATTTTTTTAGAAGACTCGTTTCAGTAGTTGTTGAGACAATTAAAAGGTACACCAAACTACGAAGAAAATCAATTATAATAACCACTGTACCTTAGAGGTTGTAAGGATGAGATTAAATAATTGTGCAGTGCCTCACCCAGCTCCACAGACGGTCTCGATTCTTCGTGTTGTTATTAATAGACTGAGGACTTTTTGAGGACACGGACCTCCCTCACTCATCTGGATCCCTTCAGATTATGTCCTGTCTCTCATTCTTACCTGATGAAGGAACCAGGAGCCAGAATTTGGGCTCTCTGTTGCCAGCTCTGGTTCACAAGTTGGCTTGAGGGAAAAAAAAAATCAGTATGTGTCAACAATACTCTGAGCATGGAAACAGAAAGAGAGGGCGTCCCGTCCACAGAGGACAGAGACTAGCAAATGGACGCAAGGACTCTGGGCCAAGGGGCTAACGACAGACTCCACTGGTGACTTCTTTTTATGTGTTTACTTATTATGTCTTTGGCTGCATGGGATCGTTGGCCGGGGCACGCGTTAGGCTTCTCTCTAGCTGTGGCACAGGGGCTTCGTTGCCCCCGAGGCACGTGGGATCTTACTTCCCTGACCAGGGATCGAACCGGCGTCCCCTGCGTTGGAAGGCAGAGTCTTAACCACTGGACCACCAGGGTGCCCCTCCTGGTGACTTCTCAACCACAGGTAAGGATGGTGGTGTGTCCGTGGCCATGCCTGCTTCGGCGCCTGGCACAAGGTGAGTGCTCTTCGAAAAGTGGAATCTTAGGTCATTTCAAAGAGGGCCGGTGGGACCAAATCCAGGCACTCTTAACGCTGTGACCAAAGCTTGAGTTCTCCATCAGGTGCAGTAATCACGGCTGTGCTGTGTTTTCCTGACGGAGACACAGAAGCCTCTCATAATCCGTGACTGGCGATGTGGGAAAGTAAAACAAAATGTAAGTTTCTCCCAAGTTAAAAAAGTGGAGTTTTTAAATTGCTACATATAGACTCCCTAGTCTGTGCCAGGCACAGTGACACTTGTTTTATTTCTAATTCTTAACAGTTGCTCTGAAGAGGAGATGGTGTGTAACTGCCATGTTGCAGATGAAAGCAAACTCAGATAGGCGTTTAGGTTTCATTCTCTGGGCCAGTCGTTTCACTAGTAAATGGCAAAGGCAGGATTTGGACTCAGAGACCCTGAATCTCACTGTTTCATGCACCAGAAGCATTTTTTCCCCCTCTTACATTTTCAGTAGGTAACTTTCAGAACATAAACACTTCCTGCTGAAATTCATTTAATTATCATGACCAGGTTGCCACCCAGAGAAGCTGACTTGAGTAATTGGAGTGTTATGCTATTTGCCCCTGCCCTAAAATAGCCCAGACTACTGTACTTAATCTTTTTTGAAAATAGAAGCTTTATTGAGGTAACATTCAGTTTACTCATTTAAGGTGTTCTGCTTAGTGGTCTACTGACAGTGGTGCATCCAACATCACCAATTCCAGACCATTTTCGTCACCTAAAAAACCTTCCACCCATAAACTATCACCCTGCTATTCTCCCAACCCTAAGAACAGTAATCTACTTTCTATCTATAGGTTTGACTCTTCTGGACATTTTACGTAAATGGAATCACACAGTTCATGGTCCTTTGTGACTAGCTTTTTTCACATAGGACATTATCAAGGATCATCTGTGTGGTCTCATGTTTCAGATAATATTGCATTGTATGGATACACATTTTTATCCATCCATTGGTTGGTGGATATTTGAGCTGTTTCCACTTTTTTTTATGGGCTTCCTAGATGGCTCAGTGATAAGTCTGCCTGCCGATGTAGGAGATGCAAGTTCAACCCCTGGGTCGGGAAGATCCCCTGGAGAAGGGAATGGCAACCCACTCCAGTATTCTTGCCTGGGAAATCCCATGGACGGAGGAGCCTGGCGGGCTCCAGTCCACAGGGTCACACTCACTCAGACACAACTGAGTGACCTGCACAAGTTTACCTGGGTCCTCAATGACCAGGACTTACTGGGTCCCCACCAATAAGTACGATAGGTGCTTGGGCTTTGTGACTGCTGATTGAGCAGCGAGATTTTATTTAAAAGAAAGAGGAAGGAGAGAGAGAAGGAAGCCTGGCTTCCCACAAGCGGTGTGACCTTGGACTTGGCCCAGGTCCTCAGGCAGTTGTCCCTGACGCTCCCTTCACTTCACGCCTTGGCCTCTTTGCTCATCTCCTCCTCCTTGCAGTGACCTCCCCCAGCCCTGTTTGCCTGACAGCTCCTACTCTTGTCTTTAGCTCTTTATTAAGGAATGTTTCAAACAGGGACCGTTCGTGAATAGTGTCCTAAATCCTCAGTCATCAGTCACCAACATGTGGTCAGTTTGGCCTCATCCACACACCTGCCTTCCAGTCTGTCTTCAAACTGGATCCTTTGGGAGGAAATAACCAGGTAGCGTTGGCCACCTGATGCAAAGAGCTGACTCATTGGAAAAGACCCTGATGCTGGGAGGGATCGGGGGCAGGAGAAGGGGACGACAGAGGATGAGATGGCTGGATGGCATCACCGACTCAATGGACATGGGTTTGGGTGGACTCCGGGAGTTGGTGATGGACAGGGAGGCCTGGAGTGCTGTGGTTCATGGGGTCACAAAGAGTCAGAGTGACTGAACGAACTGATACATTATTTGTCCTTTTGGGGTTTTTTTCTGGTCAAAAAAAAAATTTTTTTTTAATATGGTGAAATTCACATGACATAAAATGAAACTTTTTTTTCCACTCATTTCAAATGAATTGGTCTGATTTCAGAGATCAGGATAGAACACAGACTTAAGAACACACTTTGGCAGGATTCTGGACTGGATTTATGTGCATCTCATAGCTGAGGTAGAAATTGCTGAGAAGAACTAAAGACGAGCCAGTGTGTGTGTGTGTTTTACAAAAGTTTGTTCTTAAATGTAGAATAGGTTCTGTGACAACACTTCCTTCTAGCTATAGGTGGCAACAGATACTGTGGCAGCGAATCCAGGCATTTACACAGGAGTGGAACTGAGGGGTCATCGTCGCCTCAGGCACAATGAACAGCTTCGCTTTTGGCCAGACTTCTCAAATCCACCAGTGGCTGGGGGCCTTTCCCCGAGGCCTTCGCTTTTAGCTCCTTCCCCTCGTCCTCCTGTTAGTGCTTGCACACCTCATCTTCCTCCTCCATCTCCGTGTTGCTTCTTCGGCTGCTGCTGGGGCTTCCTGCCGCCTTCGCGGCCCCACGTGGCTCCTGCCACTGAAAGGAGCCACGTTAAAGAGAACAGCTCGGTGGCGTGTGGCGGGTGGTGGGGTCACAGTGCCGCACAACCACCGCTGCCTCTGTATAGCGTGACAGCTGTGTCCTCGCCCAGAAGGGAACGCCGCACCTGACGAGCAGGTGTCCCCCACGTCCCCCCTTCCACATGCTGCGACCGCTGCCCTGGGCTCTGTCCCTTGAGTTTCCTGGTTCTGGATGTTCTCTACAAATGGAATCATAGAAAACGGGGCCTTTCTGTCTGGCGGGGCCTTTCCCTCAGCGCGTTTTCAGCGCTCGTCCATGCTGTGGCGTGGATGGGCACTCCACTCCTTCCCACGGCTGCACCAGATCCTATCGTAGAGGCAGGCCGCGCGTCCCCGGCTGATGGCCGTTGGGACCGTTTCCACCGTCTGGGTGCTATATATTACACAGACATCTTGCGGCCATGGGCGTAGGTCCGCACGCACTGGTGTGAGCCCGTTTTCAGTTCTCTCGGGGTGTACACCTACGGGCAACCTTGCCAGCTCACGTGGCAATTCTGTGTGGGACCTTCTGGGATGTGAGCAGTCTGTCCCCTGTGGAGCGTGCCCTGACTTCCCCACGCACACTCGGGGGACAACAGCTTTGCCAGCCCTCCGTTACAGCAGCCCCCTCACCGAATGGCATCTTTGGTTTACGTGTGGTTTTTGCCACACCGCATGGCTTCCTCCGGTAACCGAGCCCTGGGTCAGGAAACACCCTCCCCCATTCCTCCTCGCCACCATTCAGGTGAAGTAATCCCACGATCCTGGCTCAGGAGACGGACGAGTAATTCCAGGCAGGGCAGTCAGCATCCGTCCTGCTGGCTGAGTTGGGAAAGAGGAACTCTTCCCTTTGTTACTGAGAGGGACCCTGTGTGCCCAGGGCTGCCAGGAACACAGCCCGAGGCCAAGAGGGAGGGAGGCAAGGCCAAGACAGGGACGAGAGAAACAGGTTCCTGCCAGACCAGTTTGACTCCTGGATGCAGCCATGCCTGAAGCCAGTTTCAGTTCTAGAAGCTCCCAGTTCAGGAGCCAGTGCCTGCGTGCTCACACGCTTGTCGTGTCCAGCTGTCTGCGACCCCGTGGACTGCAGCCCACCAGGCTCCTCTGTCCATGGGATTCTCCAGGCAAGAGTACTGGAGTGGGTAGCCATGCCCTCCTCCAAGGGATCTTCCCGACCCAGGGATCGAACCCGGGTCTCTTGCCAGGCGGGTTCTTTATGACTAGTGCCACCGGGGAAGCTCTCGTGAACCAGTAAGTTCCCTTTCTTGCCGAAGCTAGTTTGAGTTGGGTTTCGTCGCCCGCAGCCCGGAGATGCACGTGACGGTGGACTCGTAAGAGACAGTCTGCCAGCCTCCTCCCTTCCAGGACCACACCGCCCCGCACTTCAGCCGTGCCGTCTGCACGGGAGTGGCCGCATCGTCACAGCCACGCGAGGGACCTGGAGGGTCAGTTCTAGTTCCCGGGTTGTGGAAGCAGGTGAGTATGAAGTCTGTGAGAGCTGTCAGAAGGGAGCGAGTCCACACAGACAAAGAGAGTGGGACGGGCACAGCCCAGCACCCCAGGCCCCGGCCCGGTCCTCGCCGGGGTTCACGTGTATAAGGCATTCCTACGCTCCTCTGGAGCTTCCCTGGTGGTTCAGATGGTAAAGCGTCTGCCTGCAGTGCGGGAGACCCGGGTTCGGTCCCTGGGTTGGGAAGATCTCCTGGAGAAGGGAATGCCAACCCACTCCAGTATTCTTGCCTGGAGAATCCCACGGACGGAGGAGCCTGGTCGGCTACAGTCCATGGGGTCGCAAAGAGTCGGACACAACTGAGCGACTTCACTTATGCTCCTCTTAACTAGGCACCCTTTGGGGGCCCGATCTAAGGAGGAACTGTGTGGAAGTTCCAACACCCAACTGTCTTTTGAGCTATAAAAGTGACCATTTCATACGGCGCAGTGTCGTATGAACGGTATTCTGCTGATGAGGTCAGAGAGGTCGGGGTCTTGCCCGAGAGACTGCGTGTGTGCTCATTCGTGTCTCATTCTCTGCGACCCTTGGGACTGTAGCCTGCCAGGGTCCTCTGTCCATGGGATTCTCCAGGCAAGAACACCGGAGTGGGATGCCATTCCCTTCTCCAGGGGATCTTCCCGACCCAGGGATCGAACTCGTGTCTCCTGCATTGCAGGCAGATTTTTTTTTTTTTAAATTGTCTGAGCCACCATGGACCAGGAGGGCGTCGTGAGGCACCTCGCCAGGTACCCAGATCAGCAGCCCACAGGCAGTAGGTACTCAGTGAAAGCCCACTGGCCCTGCCGGTGTCCTGGCCGCCCTTCGCCTCACTGACAAAACACGTGCTGTCGCCTCCGCCCCTTCGCACGTGCTGTTGTCTCTGCCCTGTCCTCCATCTTGTCTGCTTAGGAGTCGCTCTTCTTCCTTCAGAGAGCCCCGCTTCTCAGAGGTCTTCCTGGAGCAGCCCCTCTCCCCGCAGCCCCCAGACAGACCAGGAGGCCATCTTCAGTCCCTTCTCCATGTCCGGGGCCCAGCGGCAGCTGAGCGGGGCTCCGTGATCACACCGTGCGCGGTGGTCGAGCAGTTACGTGACTGTCGGCCCCGCTGGGACTGTGAGCGGACCTGGGGAGGGGCTGGTCTCTCTGCTCTGAGACCTGGGACTCACTGGTCTCAGGTGTGAGACAGCGGTGAGGTAGACATCTCCCGGACGTGGGACAAGTACCTAGAGGAGCCTGCATCTGCAGGGAGGCTGACCTGACACTTCAGAGCCCGCTGCCTGGACCCACCCATCGGAGAACTGCAAACTGGCTAGCTGGCAGCCCCCGCGAAAGAATTCAGCAACACCGCACCCTCTGACACGTTCAAAAATCGACGTTGACAATGTCGAAGCCAAAGTGGGTACACAGGGTGTACTTTCGGGGGTATTTTAAATATTGACACTGTAAGCTTGAACTGTTTGATCACTCTACGTAACGCATCCCGTGAAGCTGAAGAGCATAGTGACTCCAGCGGCATGCGTGTAAACAGCCCACAGGCAAGCTCCTCTGTATTAATGAGGTTTCACGCCAGTTTCTTCTCTCTGAAACTTGACTTCAGTTCCACTCTTCTCACAAAGTTTTAGCCCAACGTAATTTATCCTTGTGGGCTCCCCTGGTGGCTCAGTGGTAAAGAATCCACCTGCCAATACACGAGACGCAGGTTTGATCCCTGGGTCAGGAAGATCCCCTGGAGAAGGAAATGGCAACCCACTCCAGTATTCTTGCCTGGAGAATCCCACGGACAGAGGAACCTGGTGGGCTACAGTGCATGGGGTCTAAGAGCCAGATACCACTTAACGACTAAACAGCAACAATACACTTAAAAATTTTTTTATTTGACTTTGCTGGGTCTTAGCTGTGGTATGTGGGATCTGGTTCCCTGACCAGGGATTGAACCTGGGCCCCTTGCATTGGGAGTGCAGAGTCTTAACCACTGGACCACCAGGGAAGTCCTCAACAGTGTATTCTCATGCCTGAAAGTCGCTTGTTGATCACACCATCTTCTCTGTGACAACAACTATGGATATAAACTGGTTTTAAATTTTTAAAAATTTCCTGTGATTCTAAGTCACTAAGTGTAAACTTATTCTGGAAAGGTATGATTACAAATACTAGTATGTGATTGATCAAAACTATAAATATTATAAGTTTTGAGAGATACTGATTACACAAAGTATTATTACACATGACATTTTTAATGATTTAACTGGATTTCCCCCATCTCGTGTACCAGTGGAGAAGTATTACTTATTTCTGCAGCTCCACCTCTTCTTCATTCTTATTTTTACAGCTATAAGCACTCAGAAATCTTGTCACAGAGATGAGGAACAGAAAAGGAAGGAAGGAGTACTGGAGGAATGTCAATTAACTCCCTTTGTGTTTTATGCCAGAAATCAATAGTAATCCATTATAAAGAATTATTTTATGTTGCCACTTGGTGATTGGTAAATGAGGGTTCCTGTTATTATTTGTGCATGCTTCCATTTTTCATAATACAAGTTAAAGATATTATGATTACTCTCTGTTAGTTGACAAAAGGATTGGGCCCTCCTGCCATTTTGTTGCAAGCAAGAAATGGAAACCACTGGACCTGCCAAAGGATTTATCTCCCAGTACTGGCAGCCCTCACAGCCCTTCTTCCTCTCCAGACCCACTGCAGGACTTCCCTGGGCTTGCCAACTGGGGGCATTTGCCTTTGCTTCCCAAAGCGAGAAGCTGTTTCCTCAAGTAGTCATTGGAAACCCGTGGTGGATGGCTGGAGAGCAGCCCTTGGCCAAAAGACCCGGAGAAACGGTTCAGGCCAGGAAGAATGAAAAAAGAAGACTCTATCTCAGGCTGTACATGCATTCTCTGGCTGCTCCGCCTCTCCCACACACCCTGCCCAGAATCTGCCACCTTTCAGTAGAGAAGACCTGAGTGGGACCTGCCCCGGGGCCACGTGGTCAAGGAGGGTGAGGCTGGAACTCTTCACATGCATCCTTTCCAAATACTTCAGCCTGAGAAGGCTCAGTGAATACATTTCATCTAAAATAAAAACGAACAACTAAACGTGATCCGGAATTTGGAATGGGGGTGGGGTACGGGAATGCTATATAAGACCTCGTCGGGACAACTGGCAATATTTGAATAATATTTTGCAGAGTACATAACAGTCTTGCATCACCATTACATTGCGTGATCTTGAAAGCTCTCCTGCGGTTGTGTAATAAAATGTCCTTGTTCTTGGGAAACACACTCTGAAGGATTTAGGGTTCAAGAGGCAGTATGTCTGTAATTTACTGTCCCGATGCTTGGAGAGGGGGACTTGAATATGCATAGTGAAGGGGCTTGATGAATCTGAGTTAAGAAAGGGGTTGTAGAGTTCTCTGTACTGTTCTCAGAATTTTTCTGTAACTTCGAAAACGATTCATAAAGAGACTGGCGCTGCAGGCCCGGTCTCTGTCGCTG